GCGGGGCGCGGCGCGGCCACCACCTGCGGAACCTGTCGGGCGGCTCCAGACGGGCGCCGCGCCGCGCACGCACCGCTCGCTCGCTCCTTCCCTCTCTCCCGCCTTCCCTCCTTCGCCCTCCTCTCCCCTGCTCTTCCCGCGGCCGCGGCCCGGCGGATCCCCTCGAGCGGCCCCTCCGCGCCCCGCCGAAGCCATGGAGCTGCTCCGCGGCGCCGCGCTCCTGCTGCTGCTCTGCGCCGCCGCGTGCTGGGCGCAGGACGGTGAGAGACCCCTCCGCACCGCGGACACCCCCGCGCCCGCTGCCCCGCTGCGCGGCGCCCCCCGCGCCCTCCGTCCCGCCGCGCGCTGCCCCCGGCGGCGCCACAAAATGGCGCCCCCTGTGCGCGGGGCCGGGAGCGGGGGAGGGGCCTCGCGCGGCGGGAAGGTGCCGGGGGAGGGGGGGGGGAACGAGGGGACCCCGCCGGCCCCAGGAGCACCCCAGGGTGCCGGGGAGGGGGGGACGACACCCTTCTATCCCTTATTATATTTACTCTATCATCCCCCTTGGGCCCCCGGCTTCTGCCTCTCTTCCAGAGTGCATCTGCACAAAAAACAAGCGCGTCACCAACTGCGTGCAGCGGGATGGCGTTTGCCAGTGCGAGTCCATTGGGTCCGGCGCAGCCGTGAGGTGCAACACGTGTAAGTCTGTCCTGCGGTTTTTGTTGTTTTCATTTCGTTTTCCTTTTGGAACGCTTTGTTTGTTGCCGTGTTCTAAGTAGCGCCTTCCTGGGGGCTCGGGGGTGTTAAAGAGGTGCTAAAGAGCTCTCCGTGAAGCTCGGGAATGTAAAGAAAGCCCAGGGAGCACCTGACCGAAGAGAAAACTGCGGGAAAGGAAAGGAAAATTGCTTCCTGGTAGTCCAGGTCGGCTGATAATGGTAGATAAGGGTTTATAATCCCTACCCAGAAACTTCTGTAAATACGTGTGTGCAGTTATACCAAGGCAGCCACCCCAATCCTCTTCCATATTCAATATTGTGTCGCTATCTAGTGGCAAAGGTTTTTTTTTTTTTTTTTTTTGCGCCTGGAAACAGAGCCCTAAACAATGTCCATGAAAGACTTTGGATCAGTGTCGCTAGGCAATTATTTTAGCACTTTTGTTTCTGCCAGATTTTGGGTTTCTTGAGAAAAGTCCCCAGGTATTGCTAATTCCTCCCATGTCAAAGGTCATAAAAGGATGATTCGGTAGGGAGTTCTTGCTAGGAACTGGTCTGCTTTCTGCTTATCTTCTGCCTTGCTTTTGTCAAAATTGGGCTGCCTTGCAGGGATAGCTTGATCTTTCATAACCAGATGATCTCTCTGAAACAATATTTTGTTAGAGTGTTATCGGTCTCCTTCAGATTTTATCAGGTTTCTGTGAAAGGCTCTTGTCAAGGCTGACAGAATTTTCATTCTTGTTTGAAACTAATTAGAGCCCCTGCCTTCCTTTGATTTTATAAGTCTTCAGCTGGGGAAAATCCAGAGATTCTTGCAGCCTTACTGAAAATTCTATATGCAATGTAGTATTCATCTATATAAATACATGTTATATAAACACATGTTTTGCATATATATCTTATGTAACATTTATAATCAATTATCTGTTATGTAGGAAGTATTTGCCTGCTTTAACATACAGCACTTGCASTTCTTTGTGGACAGATAAAACTCATACTGATTCTAAGACAATAGAACAGAATTAATATTCTGGTAATTATCTATTTCCAATTAAAATATCATTGTGTGATGAACAATAACAGAGCTGAGAATTTCACATGTTGAGGTGGAGTGCCTTGGATTAATATTTATGAACCCAAAATACATGTCCTGACTCCATAAGAGTGCTGTGCACTCAGCAGCATCTTCTGCAATCAGTACAAACATGGATGCAACAGAGCAAACTGATTCTCCTCTCTACTATAATTAAGCTCAAAACTTGATACCTTGTTTTGTATATAAGGATAGGGTACTAGAGCCAGGCCTAAGTGAGGTTTGTTGGTCAGAGAAGATGGACTGCAGTAATAGATAMTTCTAAGAAATAAGCACACTTTCAAAAGCACCTAGCAGATTCTTCTGAAATGCTAGCTTCTGAAACACAAATCATTTATTTAGTTGCATAAACTTATGCTGAGACGTTAGAGACAGCTGCCTCTCTGCCAAGGTGTTTTTTTCTGGGTGCTCTGGTTTTGTCTGCATGAATATTGTGGGAGTACTAAAGAATGAACTATTGTCATCTGTTCCCTCCCAAAATAGGCTTTTTCATGCTCTCCCAAAGGTGATGACACTTTTCTTTGCACTTGAAAGCAGATGTTCTGTAAAAAAGGAGATACAAATCTTCATTCACTGTCAATGCACCTTCACAGGAGCCTGCTTAAACAACGAATCCTCATGCAGAAGACAGCTATATTAGCGCTGCATGCAGTTTTGCAGCACTGTGCTCTTAGATATTGTGTAGGTGGTGTGGGCAAGCACAGAGGGAACAAGGGGAATTTAACTCCAATCTTCTTCTGCTTCCAGCTAGAAGAATTCTCCAAACTTCTCAGCCTCAAATGCTACGTTATCACAGGTCCACTGTTGGTCAGCTAGAGCTATACCTTACATAGCTATTGTGAACTTGATTAAAGTGGGATTTAAACACTAGTTAAGCAGAAAACACTACGCAAATTTACCCCCTTCAGAGAATCAGAGAAAGCATCAGACAAGACATAAGGCTTTGGTAGATTTTGATATAGGGTCTTCATTAATGCTACCTTCTCTCTAGGACTCACTATATAATCCCACAGTGAGAAGAGAGAAGGATTTTATCCCTAAAGGAGCTGGATTATTTAGTTTTTTGATTTCCAGTCTTTCCTGGGARTGTCTAGCAAGAAATAAAAGGAATCTAGATATGAAAAGAATGATGGGTCAGCGTATTAGAGCTAGAGTTAAGAACATTTTGGTCTTTTGCTACTATAAAATAAGAATATATATAATTTCCTGGAATTTAGTCCCTGGATTTTATTCCTCCTTTGCTTTGCTAAATATCAATCTGATTTGCACATCTTATCTAACAGTTAAATATGAGGTAGTATCAGTGATTTCAGTAGAACTGATAAAAATAAACAACTGGTAAGCAGGAGGTAATATACTGTATAAGATACAGTTCCTTGTAGCTAGTACTTACAGATTAAAACCTTGCAAATGAAGTTTAATTCATTACATTTACCTGGGATAATTCTGTGCGGCTTAATTAGCTGTATGCCTGTCCAACCCTTTGTGGTAAAAATAAATCCCTTCCTATGGTTTAGCTCTTAACTTCATTTCCTGTTGTCTTTGCCKTTTGACCCAAATAAGCTACGAGTGACCTTCCTTCAGTTCAAAACTCCCCATTTCTTCCTTCTCTGTTTGTTTCTTGGGCATGTCTGAAAGAGTAATTTAAAACTAGATCTTTCAAGTTGTCTGAATCAGAATGAATTGGTCCCTGGCCTACCTGAGGTGCCAGGAGGAGATTCAGGATTGCTGGGGAAGTTGGGATTGCTCTTCAGCACTGCTAGAAAGGGCTCTGGCTGTGTTTCAGCAGCTCTGCCTTTCTTAGTTGCTGCCAATTTGCTGGAATTTGGATTTCTCTGTTGATTKCAAGAACAGCTTTCTCACTGAATGAAGGGAAATATAGTTAAGAACTCTYCCAAAATATTGCCAAGTTGAAAGTGCAATGAAAAATTTGATCCACTGCAGCAACTGCCTTCCAGAACTGCATTTTCATTCATAGAAGCTCCCTTTGTTTGTTCCTCTGCCTTCCTTCTCCAGCTTTGAAAATGTGGCTCTAGCTTACTAAAGATAAAATGAAGCTCTTCCATACTATAGAATTTGTCCAACGGCAGGGATGACCTCTCCTATTTGCATTCAGGATAAGCAGCTCCTCACTGCAGGTGTTCTATGTGTTGTCTTAACTTGCAGGTCCCAGCAATTGGGGCCTGCAGGAAATGAGGGATGCAGGAAATCAGCAGCAGGCAGCTGCTTAAATCAGACAGTCAAAGAGGCGAAATGGATAATGGATCCTCAAACCTCCTGAAGCTGCTTTTGAATTCACCTGTCTTCTGTGCTGTATAACGACTGTGGGAATATTATACACTTCTTGAGGGGTTATGCTTGAGGCTTGGCCAAATATGAAAGTTGTACTGTGTGGAGTGGAATACATAGATTAATTGMACACATGCAATTGAAACCTGAAGAAATATATTTGTAGTAGAACTCTCCTGCTGTAGTTGCAGGTATCTCTTCTTGTTTCCTGACTAAGGTTTTCATCTGTAAAATGAGCATAATGWTAGATTTTTTTTCCTTCATCTTGTCCCTTAACGAACTGAAGCTGTTCGAGAAACGTCTGTGTACTGAGTGCTTGGCCCATTACTTGGAAGGGAACTTTTCTTGACACAAATACTTAAAATGCGAGAGGGAAGATGCTCTTTCAAAGAAAGTCTTTAACCAACACACAAGTCAAGGTAATTGCCTTATGCCTTAAAAGGGCTGCAAATTTGTCACAGATTTTCTGTCTGAGATGTAGCTCCCCCTCAGCATTTTCTTGGGGTTATAAATAATAAGATCTGCTGGGATCTGGGACTATGAATGGACCAGGACCGCAGGCAGCCCTGGGCTGTGGGCATGTTTCAATTCTTTCTGAAATGTCACATCCGTGAGAACTATCTAATTGCTAATGTTGTTAAACTTTAATGGCTCCTGGCCTGTGGTCTAAGGTTTATTACCAAGGGGATCAAAAGCAAACATTTATTTCCTTAGTTCCTATGCCAGGCTGAATATAAGGCCTCATTACTGTCTCYAACCAAGCAGCCCTGTTCAGTGAGCTGCTTTCATCCTCGCTCTTTCTCTTGAACTGTAGAGATGTGACCTGAGCGACTGCAGTTTAGCACCTGCTATTTGGTGCTATTTGGTCTGGGTCTTACCTCTATATCTTTCTCAATCACATTCAACCCTCAGTCTTTCTCTTGCCTTTTTTTTTCGGTGATATTGTTTTCTGTTACCCTTCAATAAAAAAAAAAAAAAGGCAGAGGAGGAGGGAATAAAATGTACCGTGTGTGTACCATGCATCAATGCTGTGAATGTCAAAAGGCAGTACCAGGCCTTCCCATGAAAACGTGTGGTTTCAGTGGTTAGTGCTGTGATTCAGCCCAGGGGCAAGAACCAAAAACACGGAGGAAAAATTTYGGAGGTACTAACCTTGAGTGAACTGAAGATAACACAAAGTTTGGAAAGCTGAAAGCTAGTTAAGTTTTTGTCAAAAAAGGACAGCTAATGGAGCATCATCCAGTGAAGGAGAATTAAGAAGGATGATAACTCATCAGGGCAAGCTTGGTCCTGACAAGGAAGAGTGCCCACAAGATGCGCTCAAAGAGATATTAAAGAGGCCATGCTGACTGTAGGTGTGCCKTGCCCTTGCTACCTGAAACAGCTCGAATTATGAATTTTCACTGATTTTTTTTGGAGCTGAAGGCTTCAATTTTTGACCTTTGCTGTGTCAGGCTGGATGCACGCTTGCTTGAGGGTAGAAGTGATGATGCTCAGACTTTTGGTTGCGAGGGTTTCCAGAAATATAAAACTCTCTCACTTCACAAGTCATTACTA